CATGTCATTTCATTCCTGATAATGCACGTTCCACGGAATTATTTAATCGATTCCTGGAGTTGCGATCTGACTTCCACTGAAAACTCCCAGAATTCCTTGAATTCCACCTAAAAAAATTGCCGTGAATTTCACAATAAATTCAATAAAATCCGATTAAATAAAAAATCGAAACAATATGAATGATATAAATAAATCGAAATTTTTCCAATACCCTAATTATCGATGACCTCAACAAAAAAAGATATCGGCAAAACTCGAATTTTTGTCCGAAAATATTAAAAAATTTCCCAGGTATTTTCCACTGATTGTGTACAACAGTAATATTTTCCCATAAATTCCAAAAAATGTCCACCATCGTACATGTGAGTCCGATGAGGGAATAGGCGATGTGGAGGGGACAGAAGCAGAAACCGGCTGGAAGTAAAGGTGTGGGCAACGGCGAGTAGTTCTCCAAGTATACCCTATTCCACTTTACTAGTGACGACGGAAACCGCCGGTCTCAGAACCGGCAAACACCACCACGAGACTCTCGTTACATTCGAGTGAGATTCTACGGGTCTTGCCGTACTCACCTGAAGCTAAAACTCTGTACAGTCGCGCCCAAGACACGGTGATGTCGATGCTAACGAGCAATACCTGAACGCGTCTTTTGGCAATTCGTTGGTTTAAAAATTTTTTTTAAAATATTTTAAAATATTTTATTACTGCTATTATTGCTATTATTGCTATTATTCCTATTATTCCTATTATTCCTGTTATTCCCATTATTTATATTATTTCTACAAATCTTCTCATTTCAATAAGTTTTCCATAATTTCTATGAATTTTATAATCTCCATTACCAGTGCGCCGATGAGAAAATCATTTTTAATTCCCAAGTGAAGTGAAATATTGCTGTAAAAATATTATTCCTCATTTATAATCAACTGTGAAGGATGAAGTTTACTGTGGAACATGCGTGATGTTTAAATCAGTTACCAGCAAAATGAGTAAGTAATAACAATTGGAGTACCGAATGGACGGTTTTAAAACCGTCAGTATATCGAAAATTTGTTGCTGTTATTTTATTTTTAGTTTTTTATTTCCTTGGAATAACGGTGGAATGAGTTTATTTATTCAAATGATATCGTCTGGTCCCGGACCTGTTCTGGACCATTTGAATAGTTTGACGATTGAGAATTGTGAAGTGAAGTCACGGAGTCGTCTGGTTATTTAAATTATTCTATTGGGGCTTTTGGGGATGGGCTTTTAGTCGGTAATACCCTGGGGGATTGTGACGAAAACCGTGACAGAAGTCTTGGTGAACTCGTTTAACCGGGCACTGCACATTCCTGGATAAGTGCACGCAGCAACACTCCCTGATTCGTTGTGTAAAGCCTTGTGTATCGATGCTGAGGGGTGAATGCACCTACGCCAAGATGCACCCATCGAAGGTGCATCGTTTTTACTCCCCTTTTTCGACCTTGAGACCTGGCGAACCCTGAGCCCTCGGTATTTTATCAATTCCACTGGCTTTGCAATCTTTCATGGAAGTACCATCACAACCGCATGATCAAAATAAAAATGAGGTTTCAAGTTTTTGGGAGAAAATGTAAAAAATATTCAGGTTTTAGTAGCAGGTGGTAATTCAATGAAATTAAACCAATCAGGATTATTTAATTACACGGTTATGTAATTCATCCCTGAAATTCAGGGATTTTTCAATAATTTTTGGAGATTATTTAAAGCGTCAGTATGGAAATTAAGATATTAAAAATGTCTTCGCCTTGAATTTTTTGATTCTCTGAAATTTTGAAAATGAAATAATTGTTAGGGAGTACCTGAAATGCCTGAGAAAAATCACATGATTTTTTTATATTTCCCTGAATTTTTCCTGATTTTGATCTGAGATGAAATGAAGTGATTTATCGATTTTGAAATGATTTGAAGAGGAAGTCATTTGAACCCGTGGATGATGGGATAAACGCGACAAGAGATTGTGAAATTCCAGGGGAAGTTGAAGACGAGTTGATGGAAATTCCGGAATTTGGTGGTGAAGAAAATTGACGAAAATTTTGAAAAGTGCAGGGTGTAGTCATTTGCGATGTCAGTCGCCATCGAGAATTGACCGTTTTGCTTTGGATAACATGCAGACACCATAGTGATCCGGTTTAGTCTTTGAGGATGAACGTGATGCTCATCAAACCGTAGCGATGAAGTGTCTGAAAAGACTGTATTTACTTCCAATTCCCTCAAATAAAAAATATTCATTACTCTTCCTCAATAAGATCGACACCTAGTGAAAGAATGTCTTGAGGATGGTCTACACGGAGAGAAATATTCAATAAAATTACGTGTTTTTCCGTAATTCCGGTGTGAAATGC